CTTAGTAAAGCATTTGACTCAATCGATCATAGTCTACTGCTGGCTGGGGTGGAGAACAGAAGCCCTTTAGGAAATTGAATGGACAAGGACTAACCTCACGGTATTCCACTTCGATTCATCAGACCAATGAAATACGTATCTGTGGTTAATTGTCTACTGTCGTTTAGAAAAAGGGAAAAACTGATGCAATGTCATAATGTGTTTGGTTCTTTAGTAATGTTTTTTCTTTCGTTTAGAACTTGTTAAAGTTCCCAGGAGTATCTTTTCCCTTGTTCTTCATCTTTTCCATCCACAGATCCTTGTAAGATCATTTTTCCAACATCAATCTGGTTCAAACGACTAAAATACTTCACCGTTTGCCTCTTAACAAATTGTTACTCATTTTCGAGTACTTATTGCTTTCCTCTCTTTGACCCTGCGCTCTGTCAAAGAAATCTTCAAATAGTTTCTGCAACATTCAGTTAAAAGGTTTTTTTTAAATTCAGTCTTCTTAAGCATAGCAACTCACTGTTTCAGCTTGATCTCCTTTCCTATTTTACATTTTACCAATATTTAGTTGCAGTCATAAAAGCATTTTAAGATATAGTTATTTGATCGACACTAAGACGCCCTGACTGGAAAGAATGACCTTCTATAAGTATAATGTTTAAAAGTTTTCGTAGAGAGTTACTGTCACACGTAAATAACAACTTTTTTCCTTTTTTTTAATCTCAGTCTTCTTATGTTTCAGTTTGACCTCACCATTTATGAATACGTTTCGGAAAGAGTCACCATGTTCAAAGATGCGCATCACAAAAGTTTAAAAAAAATAACACTTAGTCTAGTAGTAAAATAATAATATTCTTGTAAATATGTGTTACAGCATCGGAGACTGTTCGTCAGAAACTAAAAAAGGAAACGTATCTCACTGAGCATGTTTCTCAGAAGTATATGAAGTTGATTGCAATTTAATTTGAAATATATATACCTTTTGTTTCTTCATTTAAAAGGTGTTGCCATAATAAATTATAGAGACAAAGGAAACGTGCAATAGCTGGTGTCAAAGTCTTCAAAGTCTATCAAGCACTAGCCTTGACGCTCAACCTCCTGCCTTTTTCTTCGAAAAGGCTAACTGGAGGACGGGCAATGCCCACCTTCAAGTGAAAACCTAGCGCCCAGGTTTTTTTAAGGTCAATTAAGCGTTTTTCCCCAAGGCTTTTGACACTCAACCGCTCTCCAGCCATGGAGTGTTAGCATAGTGGCTGAGGTAAGACAAGGTACAAGCCTGACTACCAATTCTTCATTGTAGTCTTTCAATCGCCTCCAGGTTGGCTCAATTGGTTAGAGCGCTGGATTGTGTTGTGCGGGAGGTCGAGGTTTCGAGCCCCGGCCGGGCTCTGGGGTGGGATGGGCGGGAAGGTGAGATCGTTACATGGGGTGAAGCGGCTGCCAGAGGTGCCTGATAATGCTGACGTCCGATCTCAACCTTATCGTTGTAACTAAACACGTTTGTTGTTTAGAGTGCTTAAAGACTAATTCTTAGGCTTATACTTAACCACGATAAACAGAACTGCCCCCTCCCAGCCTTAGAGAACGTACCAGTTGGACAAGGGATTTCCACCCCGTTATCTTTCCTTACAGAATCATGTGCGACCAACCCGTGCATACTTTGGTGGCTGGGCTCCATGTGGAAATTAGCCTTGCCGTTGAGCCTCCTACATTTTCTTTAGGCAGGCTAGCTGAGTGGCAGAAGATGCCCGCTTTCAAGCGAAAACCTAGCCAACAGGTTTTTGCAGCCCCTTGGTAATTACTAAAAAATATATTTAATTTTGGCGAATAATTAATTGTTAACTTATATACAGGTTACCTTTGGTATTCTGCACCCTATCATTTATTCTGCGTAAGAAATTTTTGCAAGTCAAAGTCAAGTCATAAATTGTAATCGCAAGGACAAAACACAACGACAACCGAGGAAGTTCCTAGAGATATCAGTTAAATTTACCTTAAGAGCTTAAGGACTTTTATACAACTCCCCCGTGGTAAAACTTTGCTATATCCAGCAAAAGAACAGTTGTTCAAAAAATTCATCACCTGACCTTTTCTCGTCTACTTACAAAAGAAATCCATTTTCGACTGAAAGTTTAAAATTTTGGGCAAATCTCGGTTATGAGGTTATCTTACAGCAGTCCTTGTGACTGCTTTCATTTCAAAAACAAAAAATAAAAACAATTCAAAAATAAACAACACGAAGCGAAAGCAGTCTTTTCATCAGATCACGAAGGAATAAGGCTTACTTACTTCAATTGGATCTAGGTATGCAGTCACCCAGGATAGGGAAGTTGAAATAAGGTAAAGGTTACTTTAGTAATTATATTTTATTGTTATATAAAGTAAACATCTGCTTTAATGTACCACCAAGGTCCCACCTCTTAGGTTTCTAAAGTATGTTTTGCTGCTCCTCTACATGGTCTATGGTTCAATAATTTTCAGAGTTTGACCGTTTTGGTCTTCAAGTATTGCACTTGGAACAATGTTTTTCTGAATACAACTACCACGCCAAAGCCGCGATTTGTTAAAAACTGTAGCCTTAAACGCTTTGACGAAGAATTATTTTTTCGAAGAGGTTCCCTGGGGAACTACTTTTTTTCATTGTCGATCAGCACGCCCCAAAGAACAAAAAAAGGTTACGCGGTGCCCAATTGCCAGGGATTTTACCTGAAATTCAACAAGAAATATTTCTACGGAACAGGATGTTTTAGTGGCACAAAATACACCCTTCAACTGAAAAGTGGGAGGCTTATGAAAAACAGTGCAACAAAGTCGCTTCTCTCAAACCCAAAGGTTTCAATGAGTTTCGCACATACGCACCTACTGCCTCAAAGAACCAAGGGAAATTCTGGCCGAATATGAAACCCCTTCTTCCAAGGTCACGGTCAAACACACATAGCAGCGTAACTCTTGTCGAGAGTTGCTGCGTTATTTCCAATACCAGTGAGGAGGCAGAAATTTTTAAAGATCAGTTCTCAAATATGGTTCAGGCAGGTGACCCTTTGAAGCAGCAGGATTTTACTACCCACCCAGGCGTTTAACTCATAGCAAACAGAGACAGGCTGGTCGAACTCAACTTTGTGCCTGTTAATTAGAGCTACGTGAGTATAATCCTACACAACCTAGATCCTAAGAAGGCTGGTGGGGTTGACGGTATCTCTCCCCGCTCACTTTTCCTCTCTACTCCCAGTATAATGGACGAAATAACCAGATTGATCAACTTCTTCATCAACAGTCAAGCCTGGCCACAAGAGTGGAAATGCAATATCGTGACCATAGTTTTAAAGAGAGGCGAGGACACAAGCAAAGTTAACTTTCGTCTCATCTCAATTCTGACAGCTTTGTCCTAAGTTTATGAGAGAATTACTTACGACTAACTACTTCACGTCTTTCGAAGTCATCTGTCGTTGAAAATTTCAGAATTTTAAAGCATCATTCTTGCTGTTGTGCTCTCCTGAAAATGTCTCAATACAGGAGGAGATCTCTAGACAAACGGAAAGCGGTGATAGGGTTGCCACAGGCCTTAGTAAAGCATTTGACTCAATCGATCATAGTCTACTGCTGGCTGCTCGGTGCATATGGTCTCTCCTCATCAGCCTTAAAGCTAATTTCATCTTACCTGACGGATCGCAAACAAAAAATTAAAGTTCATGGGATACGTTTTAGTTACAGAGACGTTAGAGTTGTTGTAATTCAGGGTTCCCTTTGGGCTCCTCTGTTTTCTTTAACAATTCTATCAACGATTTGAACTTTTTCGTTCAAGTACATGTCGTTGAGACTCTACGCAGATGACTCCGCCAGTTATAACTCTGATACCCCCCATACTGTGCTACAGTTTGCTGCGAACTCTTACCTTAACTTGTTGTCACATCCTGGTTTGATCAAAATCATCTCCTTGTTAACAATGATAAGACTCGGGCACTTCCATTAGGACCATGCGCGGTTCAATACAACATTTTTCTTAACATTTTTCATGTAGGGAACCAAGAATCCATGAAGATTCTTGGGGTTACACTGGATAAAATGTTATCCTTTAAAGATCGTAGTGTGAAAACAGGGATTTCGCCTTCACAATTAAACGGACAGACGGGAACATCTCTATAAACTTCCTCTGAGAAAAGGCTTGCCTTGGGGCACTCGCTGGCTGCATCCATTGACAGGTATCTTCGCATGCCTCCACACTCCAAACAGTTTTCTATCGTTACCGACCCTG